TGTGTGTGTGTGTGTGTGTATACGCGTGCACACACGCACCATATGTACGCCTGGTTATAGGGCCCTGTCTTCCCGGCTCCTCAAGGCCAAGCACAGAATGCAAGAAATGTTTATGCTAACCAGCTTAGCTTCCTCTGCTCAATTCTGCTAGCCCGAGGGGATTAGCATAGAGCCTTGTTTCGTCTTTGGTATGGTAATTTCACCTGCTAAGGAGATTCCCACAGATGCCTAAATCTTCTCTAAACTGTCTGTCACAGCTCCCAACTCGGTATCCCCTGCCTGGAGCCAACCTGCCATTCAGCACCAAGCTGATAGTGCTGCTTTCTCACACCTGGCTGGGAGGGGGATTACTCTTCTGAGAAAGGGGTATTTAACCTGGCAAAAACTAAATAAAGTTGTCATTTACCTTTGGGCAAATGACCCAGACCTTTCTCTGTGTGTGTGCGTCTCTGTTTAGCCCCTAGAACCTTACCCCGAGCTCATGGCTAGATACGGAAAAGCGCGCGTTCAGTATAGAAAAGAGGAAAGCGCAGATTTGGGTAGAACCCCCTACACCTGGTACCTATGGGATCCATAAAAGGGCGTCAGATCCCCTAGAACTGCAGTTACGGATGTCTGCGAGCCACCACATGGGTGCTGGGACTCAAACCTGGGTTCTCTGCAAGAGCAACCGTGCTCCAGCCCCGCCTTTCATGATGACTATCTTATGGGTTTTACTTGGACAGAAAATGGAGTTTGTGATGTGCTGAACACACTGGCCCACCTGCTGGACAGCCTCACTGGGAGTCGGTTCAATGGGCTATGAAAACCACAAGGTCATGGGCAGAACTGCTTTCAGAGAAACCAGTCACAAAAGAGAGGGGCTGTGAGGGAGAGGGACAGAGATGGCCCCCGGCCTGAAGGGGCCTGGTTCAGGCAAGCAGGCTTCCATCCCTTACCTGTCGTTCACAAAGGAGAACATGAGCAGTCGCTGCTCGATGAACCATTTCCACTCTGGGTTTTCACTCTGCAGGTCCCGGTAGTTGTCATTGGAGACGATGATGCCATCCTTCTCGTAGGCCACCTTCACAATGTAGCGGTCATCGTAGCACACGACTCGCTTGCCGTTGACCTTGCGGGACGGGGTGTACACCAACACAGCTTGCCGCTCCAGCTCTTCCAGCACGTGCTGCTCTGGGGCCACAGGGGGGGACTTGACTCAGGGCTCTATAGAAGGGCCTCGCCTCCCAACCCAGGAACGCCCCCAAACCATCTGCCTCCGTACCGGCTGCAGACAATCAGACCTGGGCAGGTTTGAAGGGATTATTACCGTCTAGATAGCTTCTTCCTATAAAGTCTAGACTGGTCTCAACTTCACAGTCTTCCCCCTTCTCCTCCTGACTGTTGGGATTACCGCCTGGCCACTTTAGTGACTCTTTAATGCCTATAATCCCGGCATTGGGAAGTAGAAGCAGGACAAGGAGTACGGGGTTACATGAGCCCCTGCCTCAAACAACACAGGCAAAAGTGCATAGTACACCTAAGCTACTTCCGATAAACAGCACGGAGAACTCGGTGAACTTCGAGAATGAGGTGCGCCATGCCTGGAAAGTCCCTGCTGCCCATCCCAGTCCAAAAGCCTCACTTCCCCTTCAGATAATGTGTCATAAAACAGTGTTGACAGTCCCCCTTGCTTTTATTTTCACAGGTACACAGGCGAGGATCATTTTCAGAGTGGCTCTGCCTCAGACTTTACCCAACGAATTGTCCCTACCCACACTCGTTTACCAGTTTCTTTGCCCAGTTACCATATGGTGACATGGTCTGGCTGTGCCCACGATGGCTACTGTCACCAAGTGAGTTTCTGGCATGTACATCCGGGGAACCCCCTGGGATAGCTCTCAAATATTTTGGGGCTTGCCAGGTATAACATGGTCCCTTACAGGGGTTTATTTTGCATTTATTTCTGCTTATCAATGGAATTGAGCATCTTTGCCTATTTTTACTGCCCATTTACAGTTTTCTTCTAGAAAACGCTTATTTGTGGTACTAAAGAAAAGGCTCAGAGGTTAGAAGCCCTGGCTGCTCTTCCAGAGGACTCTTGTTCAGTTCCCAGCACCTGCATGGCAGCTCACAGCTGTCTTTAGCGCCAGTTCCAGAGGATTTGACGCACTCACACAGACATACATATGTGCATACTTTAAAATAACTCTTTAAAAAAGGCTTATTTATGAAATAGCTCATCTTTCTGTAGGTTCTTGTCCTTGCTTCATTGATTTGGAGATGAACCCCTTCAGCAGTAAAATGTAAGCTATAGGACTGAAGATGTGACTGGTTTGGCCAAGTGTCTCCCTATGATGCCAGAAGCCTGGGGTTCAACCCCATCACCTCATAAAATAGGCCTGCAATGCCCGCCCTTAGCCCTGGAAGGAGAAGCAGGCAAGTCAGACGTTTAAGAAGGTAGATCCCGGTGCAGTCCAGACTCTTCCCTCTGTTCGCTCAGTCCTGTTTTTGTTTGTTTGTTTGCTTGCTTCCTTGCTTGGCTGGTTGGTTGGTTAGATGGTTTTGGGGCTTTGTTGTTATTGTTTTGTTTTGATGCACTGCTATCTGCTTCTGAGCCAAAGCTTCCAACGTGCCCAATTTTATTCATTACTCTGCACAGGACTGACTGCCCCTTTGTGGTTTGTTTTAAAATCCCAAGCCAAGTATGTTGGCACACACAGCACTTGGGTAACTGAGGCAGGAGAATCACCATGGTTTTAGGCTAGAAAGTTGAATTCCTGGCCAGCTAGGGCCATATAGCAGGACTCTGTAATAAATAGATAAATGCATAGAGGTCAGAGGACAACTCTTGAAGACAGAAATCAGAGAAAACCATACTGACTCTACAGCATGGAGGGAGTCGCAGCCCAGCAAATGCCTGGAAGGCCAAGCAGAGGTGGGAACAGCTCTCTCTGGGGGCAGCAAAGTGTTCCAGACAGAGGCAAAGAGCTATTGCTGCACCTGGGCCTCTTCTCATCTCCCATCGCTGTCTCTGAGAAAAAGAGGAAGGCATGACTAGCAAGGAGAATGGCCTCAATGTGCTGTTCTCTGGAAAGAAAGCCCTCGCTGTCCTCCCGTTGGAGTGTGTGGGCCCAGGAGCCTTGCTTCCTGTCTGCTTCAAGAAGGAGATGTGAAAGGAAAACTGTGAACGAATGCCCAAGGTCATCCCGACTCCTGGGAAAAACCCTCATTCTAGGAGAGAAACCCATGGTACTTAAATAGGCTTTTGCTGATCAGACTGACTCTGGTGAGAGGCTCAGTGGATAAAGACGCTTGCAGCTAAGCCTGGCAGTTCATGTAACATGACTGCATCATGTATACACACACACGCACACACACACACACACACACACACACACAAATAAAAATAAAATAAATAAATGTGCCTTTTAATCAAGATTCCCAATGAACAAAAAGGACTGATAAACAAAACAACAGACTTAAGGAAAGAAAACCTAAGAGCAAGAGAGACTAAAATGAGCAAAGAGAACTAATCTCATAAAAAAATAATAGAACTAAGAAAAAACAAATAGAAATCAAGACAATGTTTTAAAAAGTCTACATTAGCATAGAAATATCCAAGAGGATATGGCATCCATAAGATTAGCAGTTTACTTAAAAAAACAAATGAATAAAAAGAGAAGGGGGCAAGAGGCAACTGGTAGCCATGAATGGCATTTAAACCAAACTAAAGGGCTGGAGAGGTGGCTCCATGGGCAGAGGGCTTATCTAGCACACAGGAAGCCTGGGCTTAAGCAGCAACACCACTATACCAAGCCTGATGCTGCACATCTGTAATCCCAGCACTGTGGAGGCAGATGTAGAAAGATCAGAAGTTCAAGGTCACTCTCAGCTACACTGGCATTCAAGGCCAGCCTGGGCTATATGAGACAAGACATTCTGTCTCTGTCTCTCTGCCTCTCTCTCACACACACACAGACAGAGAGACAGAGACAGAAGAGTGGGGATAGATACCTTTGGTTAAAATCAGAAAAGTCAAGCACTCTTCCAAATGACCCAGGGGAAACCAGCACTCCTGCTGTTGACTTGGCTGGATTGATGCCTGTGAAGGTTTAGCGCCCACCTCTGGTGTAAGAAAGCAGAATGGGAAACAAGCAAGGGCTGGGCACGTAGCTCTGTAGTGGAGCACTGGCCGAGCACATGCAGGCTCTGTGTTCAAGGCTCTGGACAGCAAAACAACAGCAACAACTGTTTATCTCCATCACGGTGTCCAACCAGTTGTAGCTTAGAATATCAACTATATTGAGAATGAAAATGGGGCTGGGGCCCTTTCACCCAGTCTCTCCAGAGTCAATCTCGGGAGCCCCCCCCCCTCCATTCCCTAGAGACTCTTCTCCTGGTGCAGACCCAGGGTCCCCTCAGGTCTTTCTCACTGACCCTCTCAGCCTTCCCTCCCAGCTCCTCTCCACTCCTTTGTGTCAGTGACCAACACAGAGAAATATCTTGTACCAGGGACCCCAGTAGCACACGGGGCTGGAATGCAGGTGGGCAGTTCTCACTGGCCTTGCTGTCCTCCACTATGGTCTCTCCGGAATCACTACTGATTCTGTGATAGCCTGAAGACAGGAGTCCCTCTTCCCACACCTTCACTCCCTGGGAACTCTACTTCTTGATGTGGGCCTCATGGACCCCGGCTCTGACTCTTCAGTGGAGACTCTGAAAGCCAGAAAGACCTGGACAGATGTTCTGCACACTCTACGAGACCACAGATGGCATCCCAGACCACTATACTCAGGAAATTATCGATCACGATTGACTAAGAAAGAAAAACATTTTAAGATTACATACAATTTTAAGCAATTTTTATCTACCAATCTAGAGCTATAGAAAGCAATAGAAAAAAACTTCACTCAAAGAGAAGGTTGTCTATACCCAGGAAGATACAAGGAATAAATAATACCAAAATGCTAATAAAAGGAGAGGAAACACACAACAACAACAACAAAATAAAAGGAATTAATAAACACTGCTCATTGATACCTCTCAATTTTAATGGTCTCAATTCACCAATAAAAGCAGATTAGAAAAAACAAGATCTGTATTTCTGCTGTGTCTAAGAAACAGCAAGGATAGCCATTACCTCCGGGCAAAAGGATGGGAAAAGGTATTCTAAGCAAACGGACACAAGAAGCTAGCTGGTGCAGTCATTTTAATATCTGACAAAATAAACTTCAAACCAAAAATTACCAGAATAGATAAGAAGGATCCTATATCTCGTTAAAGGGAAAAAATCTACAAAGAGGAAATTGCAATTCTAAACATTTAGTCATTAAGCTCAAGGGCTCCCAAGTTTATAAAAGAGACACTACTACAGCTCCAATCACAGATTGACCCTCACCGTGATGGTGAGAAGCTTCAATACCCCACACTTGACAACAGACAGGCCATCCTGACAAAACTAAACTGTTAAATAGCATCACAAATGAATGAACCTAGCAGATGTCTACAGGACATTTCACCCAAACACTAGAGAATATATTTTCTTATCAGCACTCATAAAACGTTCTCCAAAATTAATCATATACTAGAACACAAAGAAAGTTTCATCAGATACAAGAAAGTTGAAATAACACCCTATATCTTTTCTGACCACTACAGATTAAAACTGGACATCAAAAAAAAAAAAAACCAGAAACAGCAGAAAGTACACAAACTCATGGAAAGTGAGCAACTTACCCCTGGGAAAACTGGCTCAATCCAGATCACCAAACCTACGGGACACAATGAAAGCAGTCCTAAAGGGCATAGACTAAGTTCCCACACAAAACAAAACAAAACAAAACAAAAGAAGCTGGGCAGTGGTTGCACACGCCTTTAGTCCCAGCTCTCGGGAGGCAAAGGCAGGTGGATCTCTGTGAGGTCGAGCCCAGCCTGGTCTACAAGAGCTAGTTTCAGGACAGCTAGGACTGTTATTCAGAGGAACCTTGTCTTGAGTTCAATTCCCAGCAACCACATGGTGGCTCACAACCATCTGTAATAAGATCTGGTGTCCTCTTCTGGCCTGCAGGCATACATGCAGGCATAAAACTGTATGCATAATAAAAATACAATCTTAAAAAAAAGAAAAAGATCTTTACTAAATAAACATTCAGCAGAGAGTGTCTAAAATATATAAAGAACTAAAAAAAAATTGAACATCAAGAAAACAACCCAATTTAAAAATGGGGTACAGAACATCTTCTCAGAAGATGAAACTCAGACGGCTGAGAAACACTTGAAATGTTAAACATTTCAGTCAACAGGAAAATGAAAATAGAAACCATTGTCAGATTTGATCTTGCACTCTCAAAAATGGTCAACATCAACAAAATAAATGACAGCTCATGCTGGTGAGGATGTGGGGTAACGAGAATACTCATCCACTGCTGGTGGGAGTGTAAACTTGTACAGTCATGAAAATCAGTGTGGTAGTTCTTCAGGAAGACGGGGATAGATATACCTCAAGATCCAGGCATACCACTCTTGGGCATATACCCAAAGGTCTCTACATCCTACTGCAGAGACACCTGCTCAACCATGTTCATTGATGATCTATTCATAATAGCCAGAAGTCTGGAAACAGCCTATATGACCATCAGCTGATGCAATGGTTCTCAGCCTTCCTAATACTGCGACCTCCAACCATAAAATTATTTTGCTGCTACTTCATAGCTGCAATTTTGCTACTGTTATGAATTGTGTTGTAAATATCTGATATACAAGATATCTGATATGTGGCCCCTGTGAAAGGGTTGCCCGATTCCCCCACCTCTGAAAGGATAGCAACCCACAGGTTGAAAAACACTGAACTGATGAATAGATAAAGAAAACGTGGGTACATTTACTCAATAAAATATTATTCACCTGTTAATAAAAATAAAATTATAAAATCTGCAGGTAAATGGGTAGAGCTAGAAAAGAAATCATCCTGAGTGAGGTAACCCAGACCCAGAAAAACAAATGGCCTGTGTTTTCTCTTATATGTGGATGTTAGCTTTTAAGCTTTCAATATGTATATAAGGATCTGAATAAACACCGAGGTTCGGTACCCAGTAAGGGACTAGCGAGGAGAAGAGGACTGGCCAAAGAGGAGGAGGTAGGATATATTTTTATGAAGAGACAAAAGGGAAACTAGAGGATTAAATATGTGGGGGATGGGAGAGAAGGGTAAAGGAGGAATATAGAGAGGAACAGTTAAGATGAAAGGTATTTGAAAAACCATAGGAAAACATACTGCTGAGAAGCTTCCTAAAATACACACATACATAAAAAGAATCTAAATGGAGTCACCAAATAATAGCAGTGCCCCAACTAGACATCTTATTCCACCAAGTAAAATCCCCAGTGCCTGGAGTTTTTGTTTTTATTTTGTTGAGTCACTGACCTAAGAGCCCCTTGGGAACCCCCAAACACCGGAGGCCATTGCCAAGGCTATTGGTTACTCTCCATAAATTGATGGTAACGCTCCCCTGCTGAAGATGCTACTTATTTACATCATCAAACAGGAGAAATCGAGCTGGTGCCTAACCGGAAGCTTCTCCTCTACTGACTAGCATTCATGATGCTAGAAGGTATTCTTTTGTTGCTGTCGTTTTGTTTTGTTTTGAGACAGGGTTTCTCTGTGTAGTCCTGGCTGTCCTGGAACTCGTTCTGTAGATCAGGGCGGCCTCGAACTCACAGAGATCCGCCTGCCTCTGCCTCCCGAGTGCTGAGATTAAAGGTGTGCGCCACCACCGCCCGACCCTAGAAGGTACTCTTAATATACTCAGCTACAAACCTTACAACCTACAACAAGGACCTGCTTGTAAGTGGAAACAACAGAGGTACAACTTCACGGGAGTAGCCAGCCACTTTCTGACGGGATTTAAGGGTCACTCTGGGAGACACTGCCGAAGTGGAGAAGAAGCTCCAATTAGACAGGTCATGGGCCTACGGGGAAGCCTACGACTATTCTGCTAAGGGAACACAGTGGTAAAATGCCTTCCAATGAGATACTGCTGCGCTCCTAGATTGGGTCACCACTTAGGTTGCACAAGAGGATCTTCTTCTTACAGAAGATGGGAATTAACAGAGACTCTCAGCTGGACCAAGGGTGGAAAGTCAGACTTCAGAGCACTCAGTCTGAAGTGGGATGTCTTCATCGAATTCCACCGCAAGGCTCCGGGGTCTAGGCTGAAGACGTACAAAGATTCCAAGAGGAAGGCTATCTTCCAGGCACAACAGGACCGGTGCCTGTGTGAACTCTCGGAGACCGTGGCAGCACACACAAGACCCACAGGTTCAAGCCAGATGCTACCTGTCCCAGAACTGAGACAGGGAAGTGGACACAGGCTCCCACCCCCAGCCAGGAAGTTATCTGCGAATGAAAGCAGTTGCGAGAGGAGACTCGGTTTCTCCAGCAAACACCTCAGGGCAAGACCTCGGCCAGGAGCGGTTGACTAATGGCGAAATAAACACAGTGGTATTTTTGTGGACTTTCTGTTTAATTTTGCTTTGTTTGGGCCCTTTTTTATGTTATTGGTATTTTGCTTGTTTGTTTTGATTTTCATTTTTGTATATGTGGGTTGCTGCTTCTTTTTTGGTTATTTTTTTCTCTTTGCTTTTTTTTTTTTTTCTTTTCGGGTTGGTTTTTTTATTGTTTGCTTGTTTGTGGTTTTTTGGGGGGTGGGTTGTTTTTGTTTTTCAAGACAGGGTTTTTCTGTGTAACAGTACTAGATGACCTGGAACTCATTTTTTAGACCAGGCTGGCCTTGGATTTACAGAGATCCTCCTGCCTCTGCCTCCTGAGTGCTGGGATTAAAGGCGTGCACCACCACCACCAGCTGTTTTGACTTTTTTTTAAAGAGAGAAAGAATAGAAAGTTGGGTAGGTAGTGAGGCAGGGAGGATCTGGGAAGATCTGGGGGAGAAGAAAACATGATATTTCTAGTTGGAAAAAAAAAAAAGAAAATGGGGCTGGGAATCAGAAAAAGGGCCCGTGGTTAAGCACATGGGCTGTACTTACAGAGGACCACAGTAAGTTATGGGCGCCTCAAAACCATTAGTATCTCCAGCTCGAGTAATTCAGCACCCTTTCAGGTTTCTGAGGGCATGCGCTCGCGCGTGCGCAAACACACACACACACACACACACACACACACACACACACACACTATGCATATATTGTACATAAATAAAACAAATTAAATAAGATACATCTGGGACTGTAACCTGGTAGTACTGTTCTTATCTAACATGGGCAAAACCTCTGGTTTGACCCCCCAGCACTGAAAGAAAACAAAAACACTAAAAATAATTTCTGGGTCTCCATTTCCATTTCTTTAGATGAAGTTATTGAAGAGGTATTTAGCAAATAGTAAATATTACCTGACAGAATGACTGTCTCCACGAGAGCCTATTAGGTGTGAAGTGTGGCTCCCATCTTCAGAGGGTTAAATGTTGTAAGACACAATTGTTTTACACTATAAATCATTCACAAGAAATGATAGGCGATGTGCTTGTCCACAAATGAGGGAGTAAGAGTTGCAGCTTGTATACTCCACAGGTTTTCATGACATTTCTGCTCTGAGGAAGGGCTGGGAGCCAGAATGCTGGGTGTTCATAGTCAGGAACTTTCAGTGCAGGGAGAAAGACCATTAACCAGGTAGTTAACCAACTACTAAACAGGTAGCTGACCACCATGGTGGCTGACACTACCACAGGACAACATGCGGCATACCTCTGATGGGGGTATCAGATCTTGACGGTTCTTTCCTCCAGGATGGGACAAAAACTTTGATGTAGGTGTGTCCTCGATCCCTGAACCAGTCCACAGCCAGACGAATTCCCCGGCAAGAGAAGGCTTCCTTATTTCCATGGCTGCAATGGAAGACAAAGAAATCTGAGGAGAAACCAAAAGGGGCTTTCTCTGGAAGCATTCTGGGTCACAGTCTAAAACTGAGAGGGAAATGGGCAAAGAGAATCTTAAACACGGTCCCTTCCTCCCACAGACCACAGCGGCAGGCAGCTTTTGAAGAGAGCACAGAGGTACTCAGGCTCCTCTGGGTGGGAGGGGACATATTTCAAGGGAAGCTAGAAAGAGCAAACATCGAAGAAAAAAAAATAAAAAGAATCGTGAAAATAGACGAGATAAGCCATCGGCAGAATTGCACTCCCTTTGAGAGATGATGGCACTGGCCCTACCAGGATTCCCAAGTCCAAGCAAGGGACCAGTGCTCCACAAATCCCACAGAAAACATCAATGCTGCAGAAAAAGAAGGGCTATGTGAGATCTTGCTGCATCTTTTAGGCCTCTTAAAAAATCATCATCTTAGCCAGGCACCATGATATACATCTTTAATCCCAGCACTTAGGAGGCAGAGGAAAGTATTCTCTGTGAGTTCTGGGTCTGCCTGGACTACATAATGACTCCCAGGTCAGCCAGGGATACACAGTGAGGCTCTGTCTCAAGTAAAGAAAATTATCTTCCTCAAGTAGGGGATGATAGGATATTCTTTTAATCCTTGTATCTTGGAGGTAGAAACAGGAGGACCAAAAGTCTAAGGTCATCCTTGGCTATACATTGAGGTTAGCCTGGGCTACACAGACCCTTGCTATGGAAGAAAGGGTGTGGGGGTTTATCTTCCAGCATCTTAGGAGGGCTGAGAGATGTAGAGGGGTTCTAGCTTTGAAGTAGATATAAGAATATGGCGGACACCCGTGTGTGGCTCACAGAGCTCAGCTGGCTCATAGAGAATGGTGAGTCGGGCTGGAGACGTGAGACAAGAAGCTTTGGGGTCATCAAATAGGAGTCAGTGATTAGGTGTGAGCTGCTGCAGCTGAGTAAACGAGACAGAACGTGGATTTGGGGGACGTTTAGAAGGTGCCAGAACTCAGGAAGTGCCTGAGAAGAAGGTATCAGGTTCTTCCAGGTTCCTGTGGGCCGTGCACTGACAGGAACTCTGGAAGGGTTCTGAGTGGAGGGAAAGAGCCATTCATAAGTTTGGCGTTGGATGTAAGTCTTGTGACTGTAAAGTCGACATGTTGAGTAAATAGCAAGGGGTCAGAGGGGAGATCTGAGTAGTGAAGGTTGTAGGTCACCTTTGCTTAACCCAGAGTTGAAACCGCAGTGTGGACAGCATCGCTGGACTGCCAGAGAGGAAGTTAGAGGTCGCAAACTTGACCTGGAATGAGTTTGGGATGCAGTTGCTGGTTTTAGGCAGGGGGAGGGGATCTCTTACAAAAGAGACAGAAGGGATCTCTCCAAGGGACAGGAAGACAGACAGCCAGGTGTGCTGCTCTCTGGATGCCAGGGAAGGAGGCAGCTAAGTGCCCTCTGGGGGACCGGTGAAATCTAAAGGCTTTGCTTGCGCTGGGTCAATCCAGGTCACCGGTGCTAGAGACAGACAAGTGGACGGATCTGAGACAGTGTGAAGGCCCAATCAACAGGCTGAGCCGTGAATGTGGCAGAGCCGGACCTCCAGATTAGTTCATTTTCTGCCCTCTACTTCTCCAGTCTGTTTTTCCTCCAGCTGTGTAATCAACCGTGCACCTTGCTGGATGCCATCAGTGAGTCTTTGCCGCAGCTATCCCTGCCCTGTCACGGGATTCACTCCTCTTCCTTCTCCTCCAGTTCTCTGCTAAAGCCTTGCTTCCTCAGGACACCATCACACAGACGCTTCCTAGCATTTAAGAACATTTACCCAGCCAGACCCACTGATGCACACTTGTAATCTCAGCACCCAGAAGGCTGAGGCCAAAGAATTGCCTGGAGTTGGGAGGTAGACTGGCTGCTTACATAGCAAGCCCTTGTCAAAACAGAAAACAAAACAAGCCACAACAACAACACACACACACATACACACGCATGCGCGACCCCAAGAGACTCTGCATGACCACCAAGATCCCAAGGACTAACCAAGGTTCCTGGTTATTAGTGAAAGTTCAGTAAAAATTTGCTGAGTAGCTCCATGATGGAAAAGATACCTGGCCAGCAGGAAGAAAAACAATGCACGCAAAAGGGGAGGATTGCCTGGAAAGACCTACAGTCCTATTTTGTTTACCGAAGGTACAGCAATGTGACCACAAATCACAGAATAAACACAAGGGACATAGAGACTAGATAGGTTCATCTCCCGCCCCTCCCCCAAAAAACCAAGTAAGGTGGGAGCATGTATGCATAAATGTGGGTGCTAGAGGAGGCCAGAGGCGTCGGGTCCGTCTAGAGCTGGCGTTGACAGGTGCTTGTGAACTGCCTGACCTGGGACCTGAACCAGTGTCCTCTGAAAGATTCTGAACGGGACTCTGAACTCGAGCCCTGAGACAAGTCCCCAGAAGCCTGGCTAGAAGCAGCCAGCTCACACCCTGGTACAGACCGCACTGAGGTCCCCTTGCTGTGCTGACTCTGCCGTGTGATTCTCCCTGCTGTTTTCTTAGGACTGAGACAGACACAGGTTTCCAGACTAAGAGCGGGAGTCCAGGAAAGCAAGGAACCTGTCGAACTTGGAGTGGGTGTAAACTGTCTCTGGCAGCTCCTTCAGCTTCGGTAACCATAGGGATCTTCGCTGCACAGGCTGGTGTTTTTTTTTCTCTTCGGCCTCAGAGGCTGCTCTGGGAGCCTTGTGCAAACAGCGGGAAGAAGGTAGCAGCAGTACACAGTGGGAAAGGAGGAGGAACCCCTCCCACACACGGGGTACTGGTTGAAAGAAGAGGGGAGAAAGGTAAGGGAGTCATTCTCAGGGCCGTTCCTGGCCCCTCCTTCTTCTGATAAGGCCTGGGAGTAGCAGAGACACAGAAACTTGCCTCCAACAAGAGGCTGAAGCCTTGTGGCCCAGCACATTTGGGCAGGCTGCACACTCTCAGAAAAATTCTGGCCTGAAGGCTGTGTGCTTTAGAAGTGTCTCATAGCGGGTGCTGGAAACATCTCCCTAGATCTCTTACAGGCACTAGGCCTGATGTTATCAGAGACCTACAGATGGAACAGGTCCCTGGTAGAAGAGACTATTTTAAGCAGGCATAGCTGCCAAAAGGAAAAGCCAAATGGCACTCCTGTCACGAGCCTTAGAAACTCTTTTTCCAAAAAACACTGGGCCTCACTTGGTCCCACAGTGATCAACCAGACCTCCCAAGGCAGCACAGGCCACCTCTACAATGAGAACATTATCCAGAATGAAGAGGCTCCGCCCTAGGGAAAGTTGTCTAATAAACACCAGACTGTCCCCTTCGGTGACAACAGTGATCAAAAGATGTAGCCACCTCTTAGAATGACCCTGCAGTCTGAGCTGAATCAGGGGACCACACCTTGACCAGGACTGCCTAATTATGCACACCTCTTCCTCCTTGCTCCAACTCTTCCTTTATTTAATTCATGTCAGTACCCCGAACCTGGGGGTCCTTGGATCCCTTTATCTGTCCCTCTTCTCAGTGCACACTAATTAAGTCTCTGGTCTCTGTTTTCCCCATTCCTAGTCTCTTTAATTAGCATGTTAGGACAGGCAGTAGGGCTTACCTGTTGGGGCTGCTGAAGCCCCAGCTCTTGACCTAAAATTCTCGTTACAATCTCAATTCACCAGGACACTCTTGTAGGTCCAAGCCCTCCTGTCCCAGCTATCACAGGGGAGATCAATGTCTCCCGTAGCTATTGGGAAAGGAGTCAGGCCAGAGGTGGAAGACAGAGCCCGATCATCCAGAAGGTTAGACAGGGAGGGAACACCATAAGGTACAGGCAAAAGTCGTCAGGCCTTCCTATTCCTAAAAACTGAGGAAACACAGAACTGTGAAGGACGGGCACACCTCGTCCACCTTCCCTCCCTCAGGCATGTGCAGCTCCTGCTCTGCAGCCATCCGTCCCCGGCCAGTTCTGAAGCAAAATGGCCCCAGCACAGTTACTCTGAACACTATTTAATTGCTGTGTCTCCTGGGACTCTCGTGTATCTGTCTTAATCACTCAAAACCACGCAGCACTTGCATATCTCTATTGAACTGGTGGACAAAGACTTAAGACAGGTGCAAAGGCAATCTGCTTTTGCAACCTAGAACTCTCTAGTCAGAATGAGTTTTGATGCGTGTAGGGTAGACAGGCAGCTTGAAGTGATGCCAGTAGTGGCCATATAATTGGTTCTGAAAACAGTTAACAAAAAGAAATAAGCCAGCTTTCCCTCCTGGATCTTTTGATAGGTGTGGGGTTGGGTGGCGGAGACATTCGGTGGGAGGGAGAAAGGGGGAAACTGAGTCTCAGTAGAGTTCCAATCAGGAGGTGACAGTCATCCTGGGTCCCTTTCCAGGAGAGAAGGGTCCATCTGGTCATCTGTCCCTGTCTTTGCACCAACTTACGAACTCCTACCACAACAGGACTGTGCTGGGGGCTAAGTTATCAACCACGCATGCTCCTGTAACCCTAACACTCACAAGGTTAAACAGTATGGTAAGCTTGAAGCTAGCCTTGGCTAACGGCGAGTTTCAGGCCAGCCTAAACTACAAAGATCTTTTCTCAAAATATTCAAATCACAGGACCCCAGGACATAACTCAGGTGGCACCGTGTTTGTCCAGCATGCCCAAGCCCTGGCATCAGATAAGTCAGGCATACTGGTGTGTGCCTCTAATCTCAGCACTCATGAAGCAGGGGCAGGAAAATCGGGAGATCAAGATCATCTTTGACTACATTGTGAGTTTGGGGATAGCCTGATCTTTGGGAGATCCTGTCTTAAACTCTTTTTGGGGGAATGGGTACTGTCAGAGACACTTAAAGCTCATTTTATTAACTGTAGAGAGTTCTGTTTGCCAAGTCAGGGGGTTCATTTCATCATTACATTATACCCATAAAGAAATGATTTTCACCCCCATTTTACCCTATGGAAACCAAAGCAAAGAAACATGCCCAGTTCTCAGATCTGGTGGTAACTCTACAGGCCTGTCACTATGAACCCTTCCTTTCCCAAAATCGCTGAGGTCCAGAGAGCAAGTCTTATGCAATGGGAGTTCTCCCACTTGGAGGCCCTCCCATGGAGAGGTTGACAAACACTGAGAACCAGTCGCCAGGAGGCCATGGGAAGGGAAGTGAGGGCCTAGAGGTTTTGAATATTGGGAGGGCTGAAAAGGGAAGTGGTTGGTGTCTGAAGCAAATTTTGCCTACAGGACAAGTGTGCCAATGGCAGCCAGTTAAGGGGACTGTTGTTTGCACAAACTAGACAATATAATTGTACACGCTGCATTCTGACAGTGCAAGAAATCCTTCCCTATAGAAGTCAGGGGTCATAGGATGACCTATGGGGTACAAGGTCACAGTCATGCAGTGGAATGAACAAAGATGTCTCGGGACTCTGAGATGAAAGGGCTGTGCTCTTTCTGTCCAGTTTCTTATTGGGGGCTCAAATGCTGGTGTTCTGGATCTGCCCAGTGGGAAGTCTAACCCAACCCAGGTCGTAGAAGAAAAGGAACGAGAGTGTACAGGGACCGCCATGGTTGCCCCCAACCCCCACCCTGAGACAGAGTTTCTCTCTGTGTAACAATCCTGGCTGACCTGGAACTCTGACTTCAGACTCAAAGAGATTCGCCTGCCTCTGCCTCCTGAGTGCTGGGATTAAAGGCATACGCCACCACTGCCCAACCTACCCACTTCTTATGAGGCAGAAACAGGTGCAGATTTGTGTAGGAACCCCAGCCTAGAAGTAAAATGGTACCTGATCCCAGGAATAGTGGTTAACATCTGTAATCCTAGTACTCAGGAGGCTGAGATGGAAGTATGAAATTCAGGGCCAGTTTAGGCTATATAGCAAGACTTCATGGTGGCTGTTTTGGAAAAAGAGGGAGGAGGGTAAAATGTAGGCTGGGGTGTGGACCACTGGTGGATGCTAGCCTAGGATGCACAGAGTCTTGGGTTCCATCCCCAGCACCACATAAAACCAAGCACAGTGGTGTCTGTCTACATTCCCAGCACTACAGCCCTGGAACCAGGGGTATCAGAAGTTCAGGGTCATCCTCTGCTACAGAGAGAGGCCAGTCTTGGCTACATGGCCTATGTCTATAAAGAGAAATGAAGGGCATTGCTGGACATTTACCTTGAGGTCAGGTGTCTAGAAAACGGTTATACAGCTAACAGGCTTACATTCCCCCTCCTTTATATGAACACACACACACACACTCACACACACACACACACACACACACACACAAATATGTGCCCCTTCAAGGAACTGTAATGGAAAGGATTCTCTGGCCTGTGCGTCTATCAGAGCCACCATTCGATGTGCACAGAATGCGTGAGGGACCCCAACATTGGAAGTAGCAGGAAGTGTCCTGGTCCTGGCCCTACAAATCCCTCTCAAAGGGAATAGGCACTGGATACATCCTGTGCATAGCTAGCACCCTATTCAGAGGCTGTACTGCACTGCACACAGGAGGGTTTGAACACCAGGACAAAGGCCTGTGGGAGCATGGTTGTCCGGCTTGCAGTCATTTCACAGGCCAGATTCAGGGAGAGGGGATTGCTGTGGGGATGGGAACTAGTAGGGGTGATGCAGAGCCGCAGGGAGGGGAAGGAGGTGATACATAACTGCAGGGATGGGAAGGAGGTGATGCAG